GTCTCACATCTGACACCTGTCTGACATCTGACCCCTGTCTAACATCTGACCCCTGTCTAACATCTGACCCCTGTCTAACATCTGACACCTGTCTGACATCTGACCCCTGTCTAACATCTGACACCTGTCTGACATCTAACACCTGTTAGGACCCGAGTTAAGTTTTAAACAGCTGCTTGATTCAACATTTCTTTTAAAAAGTCTTCTGTGTCATTTAATGTTTGTATACGTTTTACATTTTTACATAATGTAAACTTCTTTTCTTTTTCCTATTTTGCAGTCTGTGACAAACACGTGGTCCGAGAACCAAAGATTAGTCCTTCATAACCAAAGGCCAGTCCTGGGGAACCGAGGATTGGCCCTTGAGAACCAGAGGCCAGTTCCTGTTTATCTTGATGAAGATTACAACATTCCATACAATTCTGCTGTTGCCAGATCTGTTCAGAAGGTCTTCAGTCAGGTTCACAGAGGAACCCAGGTATGTATCTGTCCATCCATCCATCCGCCATCCATCAATCATCCATCCATCCATCATCCATCCATCCATCTGTCATACTAATGTTGGCAGTGTCGTGGGACCTAAAGTGATGGTTTGATTTTTTTTCTTTTTAAAGACCAATTTTCTATCTATTCTATAATGTTGAGAATGTGTAAAATAGTTTCTACATTCACATTCTACATTGTTTGTGTCTCTGTGGTGGACTTTTGTCCTGTCCAGGGTGTCCTCCGCCTCTCACATAATGACTGCTGGACATGGGCACCAGTGATCCCCACAACTCAGACAAGAAGAAGCGGGTAAAGATGATGGATGGATGAATGGATTCTATACACCTGTTAGTATTTGCTCATGGTACACTGACCAACATAGTTGACAAACAGTGACACTTTGTTTTCAGCCTCATACAGGACAGAACAATGAAAAAATAAGCCATGGCTGGGCTATTGTTTCTAATCTATATTTAAATCCAATTATAGTCTGTTCAATCCAAAAATACTACTATACAGAAAGAAAAAAAACATTCCCCAAACCCAAACTGAGCGGTGTGGTATCTGCAGGAATGTTCAGACCTCTAGATTGGAGAAACTAAAACAACCTCTCCACAGATGCATGGCTCATTACCTGAGAGCAGCTCTTCAGGATCAGACTCAAAGGTCCACCTGCATCTTAAGGATAAGGGACACTCTGCTGCGGATCAGGATCCAGATGTTGGACAGAGAGTACAGATGGTTTGAGAAGGGGGTAAAGGAAGACATTTACATTAAATGAGAAGAAACAATTTAATCAGAGGAGATCTCAGATTTCAACTTTCAAAAACTTACAATGCAGCATTAAGCCAGCTCTAGTTGCAGGTGACCCAAACATCTCCCTGAACCAGGCAGACAAAGAGCCTAATGAGCCTGTGCGGGTGAGTAGTTCTAGTCTAACCTGCAGCTGAATCTAATATTACAACCAAGCATATCATGCAATTCTAGAAAGCTGTGACCTCCACACACTCCACACATTTTAGAATTGATAAAGCCTCCCAGATGGGAAGTAAGAAGTATTTGACGCGAAACAATCACTTTCTATTGACGAGTATTATACTCACCATACAAGTTATGTCATTGCTGTTTATTTTTTACACTTGTAAAAAAATTGTGTATGTGCATATTTGTGTAGCCCCCCCTGCAGAGTGCATATTGGTTCTTTTTAGTACTGCTGGACTCAGGATGTTACTAAAGATGGCATTGCACATGTGTTGATTTTATCGGACTTTGTTCTTGTCAATCCACTAGCTCCTCAGGACCTGCCTTGCTCTCTGTAGGTACTCGTTAGTGGTTGACTTTCTTACAGCCTCATAATGGTTGCCATTTGCCTGGGGGATTCCAAGGACAGGTAGATGTCCTGGACATCTGCAATGTTACTATCTTCAGCTAGTCCAACCCCTTCAGTTATGATTACCTTGCCTCTCTTGCATACCATTGACTTTTATCCAGTCTGAATGACATTCCAATGTTCTTGCTGTAAATCCTGGTGAGTTGGATTGTCTCACTTTGGAACCGGTGGTATCCATAGTCACTTTTTGCAATGATCTGGCTAAGGGGGTTCAGGCCTATACAGAACAGAAGTGGGGACAGTGCATCAGCTTGGTATATGCCACTTTAGATGCTGACTTGTGCAGTTGGCTTTGAATAGGCCTCTAGAGTTGTCTTCCACATTTCCACTGAGTTCTTGATGAAGGCTGTTCTGGCCCTTTTGCATTGCAAGGCCTGGTCTAGCCTGGTTCAGCAAGTTTTTTTTATGAAGGCTCATAGTGTTTTGTTGTTGTTGTATAGTTTCAAGCATACCAGTATCCGTGCGTGGCATTGAATCATCAGGGTTTCCTGTAGTCAGTCCTGGTCTTACAATCTCCAGCTATGATTCTGTCGACCAGTAGCTGGTGTTTGGCTCCTCTGGTGTTGGTGCCAATTCCCTTCTATGCCTCGCTCAGGTCTAGATCCATGTGTCTATTCATCTAGGCTCTATGATACCTGATAAGAGCTTCCATGATGTACAGAGGCAGGTGACTGACCGTTATCTGGATGGAATTGCCCCTTTCTGGGCATCTTTCATGATCAGGACTGTCTGGCCTTGGGTCAACCATTCTGGGTGAGACCCTTCCATTAGCAGCTGGTTCATCTGTGCTGCTAGGCGTTCATGGAGAGCAGTCAGTCTAGGTGTAGATCATGTAAGGCCCAGGTGCAGTCCAGCTCTTCATTCCTAAGACTCTGTCTTGGATGTCTGTTACTGTGATGAGTACTGATTCTTGTTCTGGCAGATGTTCAGATCTTAGATTATCTAACAGCAAAGATAAAGTAATCAGTTGATTTATAGAATAAATGCAGATCTTTTTTTTCAAATTGGAAGTGTAAAATAGTGATTTTGTGTATCTGTTGTTTATATCCAACATGTCTGATGCTTTTTATCAGTACTGATGGCTTTTAACACTCATAACAAACGGCAGCTCTACAAAAAGGCAGGTAAAAACTATTGCTATATTATGTTGGGCCTTCTGTTATAAGACCAGTTGTTTGATCTATTTAGTTTATCAAATAGCAGTTATTGGTTGGTGCCCAAATAAGGAAGGTTATAGGAGACAGAAGAAGCTGTCAGTTCTATTTGCAGCATTGTGTTGTCACTTCCTCTGACAAACATCAGAGAAGACAGCAGAGCAACAGAACTCTGTCTCTAAATGTATTGATCCTGTTTGCACTACAATGAAAATACCTCTCCTCGTTTTCCTCCACCTTCAGAACTTCAGCAGCATAAACAGGCCCCTGAAATAGCTCTGCACGTTATTCTTAACCAATGTATGTGAAGATAGAAAACGTTCGCTGCTTGACTCTAAAGCATGATTTTAGCTTTAGGTTTATTAGTTGAAATAGTAGTAGTTGTAGTAATATTAGTTGTAGTAGTAGTAGCAATAGTATTAGTAGTAGTAGTAGTAGTAGTAGTAGTAGTAGTAGTACCAGTAGTAATATTCATAGTAGTAGTTGCAATATTTATAGTATTAGTAGTAGAAATTGTAGTAGTAGTAATAATAGTTGTAGTAGCTGTATTACTTGTACTAGTACTATTAGCATTAGTTCTAGTAGTAGTAGTAGCAATAGTAGTAGTAGTAGTAGTTGTAGTAGCAGTAGCAGTAGTACCAGTAGTAATATTCATAGTAGTAGTAGTTGTAATATTTATAGTATTAGTCGTAGAAATTGTAGTAGTAGCAATAATAGTTGTAGTAGCTGTATTACTTGTACTATTAACATTCGTTGTAGTAGTAGCAATAGTAGTAGTAGATGTAGTAGTAGTAGTAGTAATAGTAGTAGCAGTAGAAGTAATAGTCATTGTAGTAGTACTGTAGTAGTTTTAATATTTATAGTAGTAGTTGTAGAAATTGTAGTAGTAGCAATAATAGCTGTAGCTGTAATAGTTGTTGTAGTAGTATTAGCATTGTTTGTAGTAGTAATAGT